GAAAATCCGGCGCACGCACATCGTAGTACCACTGGCCGGCCGGCAGCCGGTGGGTGATGGCCATCCAGTTCCGGTGGACCTCGAAGTCGGTCGAGTAGCTGGCCGGTGGGCCCGGGCCGCGGGCAGGGGGCGGGGGGAGGGGGCGTGAGTCGGGCGCGCGGGCGCGCGGGCACAGGCGAAAGGCCCTGCGGCCGGCCATGCGTACTAGGCGGGCAGGAGGAAGATCTGCAGCGCGACAACGCCGAGCGAGGCCAGGAGGGCCACGCGCCCGGGGCTTGGTGCCCAGGCGGCGGCCACCTTGCCGGGGTGCGGGCCCGGCGCCCCCGGGCCGCCATCCACGGCGTCCATCGGGCGGGGTGTGCTCCTGGCCGGGGCACGAGCAGGAGAGGCGAACCAAAGGGGGGGGGCGGGGAGGAAAGGCAGGCAGGGGAGGGGGCGGGCAAAAGGGGGCGGGCAGAAGGGCGCCAGGGCCAGCGGGGCTTCATCGGGGCGGGCAAAAGGGCGGGTGTGCGGCCCGGAGCAACCCCGGCGGCCCGGCGCGCGATCTCTTCGCGTCGCCCTGTCCCGCGGCAGCCGCCCCGGCCGGGTCACCGTTGGGAGTCGGCCGGCCGATCGGAAATGTCACCCCGGCGCCCTCCGGCTCTCGCGCCCCCCCGGGGGGGGGGGGGCCGGGCGGTGCCGGGAAAGCGCGGAGATCTCGCGTGCGTCGTGTGGGGGGGGGTCTGTCCCCCCCGGCCAAAAAAGAAGGAAGAGAAAAAAAGGCCCATCCTGGGGCGGGCGGGGATGCCGGCCACATCAGTCACGGCTGCGCCCGCCCCCCGCACTTGCTCCTCTCCTTCGTGCCCCTTCCCCTCGCTCGCCCCGCCACGCCCATTCCTCCTACCCCTCTTGAGTGCCTCTCGGCCTGCCCTGTGCCCCCCCTCCCCCCCCTCCTCCGCGCGCGCGCGCGCTCGCTGACACCCCCGATGGGTCCGGCGGACGAGCACGCGCCCGCCCCCGCGCCCGCCCCGGCCCCGGCCCCCGCGCCTGCGGCCGGCTCGTCGGGCGACCTGGACGGCATCGCCGGCGACCTGGACCCCGACTCCGGCACCGGGTCCGACGAGCTGGAGTCCGACACGGAGCCGGGCGACCGGCTGGCGGAGCTGCTCTCGCCGCCGGGTGTGCCGGCCTCGCCGGGGGCGGCCCGGCCGCCGGGGGACGCCCCGGGCGCGGCCGAGCACCACCCGGGCTCCGAGAATGACGAGGCGTCCGAGTACTTCGATGCGCCCTCCTCGCGGCCGCCCCCCCGGCGGGTGACGCTGCCGGCGTGCACGCACCTCCCGGACGACCTGGTCCGGCATCTGCTGCTGACGCACCCCTTCCCGCCGGAGGCCGCGTGCATGGGGCTGCTCCGGCTCCGGGTGCGTGGCGGCCGCCCCGCCGGGGGCCGCTGCTCGTGCCCCGCGCCTCTGCCCGCCTCTGCCGCTGACCATACACATCCCCCCCC